TGAAGCTGTTCATAAGACAAAGATATCTGTGGTGTCAAAGTCAGAGCTCAAAATCAACTCTAGATTTTCATCGATTTTGACGAGTCGACTCAAATCCATACAAAATTTCATCGAATTCGAGCTCTGATCTAAGCAAATCGAGCCATATCTAGGCAATTCTGCTAAGGCGAGTGCTGCTCTGTAGCGTCAGTGGTTTGGCAACAGAACAAATACCTTTAACCCTTTATTGTAAGGACGTGAGTTCAATTCTCACGAGAGATCGATATCGATATCTTAATCATTATGCAGAGTGTTGTCGATATAACAAGGACTCGAAGATTGCTCATGGACATTACAATATCAATGCAAAGATTGTACTTGATAATGTCCTCTTATAGATCTATATTGGAAATTTTTCATGACAGCTCTGGATTGAAAGGGTTTTTCATGACAGCTCTAGATTGAAAGGATTCTGGAGTCAACATATTATTTTTGAAGTAACAATTTCAAAGTAAACCTGCATAAATACTTCGACTAAATTCATTTGCTCAAACAGTCATTCTTATAAATTTTTACACTCTCTATTATCTAAAATTTCCTTAATCTACCTACTTATTTTAGGTATTGAGATATGCAAATAACTATCCACGTGATTATTCATCTTTCTCTTCATTGATTCATCCATTTCATTCATCAACTCCTCTATTTATCTGTCGATTCATCAATTCCTCAAACAACTTATCGTGTACAACTGCCTTCTGCTTGCGCATTTAAGTATTTACTCATCTATTCACACACCATCTATAAATATAGACACCTACTCAGCCACAGAACTCTTCATTCATCCAATCAGTCATTTAATCTCCAATCTATGGATACATTCAATCATTTATTGAGATATCTTTAATTCCTTCTATCCTTCAAAGAATAATTGTGTCTACTCAACCCTTTAATCCCACCAAAAACATTTTGACCCTTTGCACACTCACCTCAGTAAACAAACCTATTAAGTATATTTTTTCTTGGTTTCTAGAGTAATATCTTATCTATGCTTGAATGGTCTGATACGATTCTATGCAAATTATCAAGAATCAATAACAATATTTTTTTTTTGGTGAATTGTGGTCAACAAACTGAACGATTGCCACGTGTAAGAATATTTGTTCTACATCTTGAAACTTTTAGGATCCATAAGAAATGTGTTTGTTGAAATTCCAAGAACAGACTTATGATACTTTGAAATCTGTTCTTCCTTTTGTGTGGCTTTGAGGTTGTAGAGAGTGTAAGTTCACACACAAAGGAGAATTTTATTTTTCTTTGAAGAATTTGGAGCTCTTTTATGTGCTTTTGTGTTTGTCTTTGACGAACAAAGGAAAGCTTTTATTACAGATGAATTAAAAGGGGTTGTTCATAAAAAATGTCTGATTTTAATGATCATCTTTTGAATGGAATCTAATGAGTACGAGAACTGGTGATTTTCTGCCTAGCTATTCGGTTCCTGGGGCCATATTTAAGCCTGAGTAAGTGACTTGATCCTTGAATTATAAGAGCAGAATGGAATCTGGGGTATCGAGGCGATTCTGCCAGTTCGAAAGCTAGGCCTCTGTTGAGCGAGTGATTAGGCAACTGGCCGAACTTTTGTAACCCTCTTTTGTGAGGCATGGGTTCGATTCCCACTAGAGACCGATCTCTCAATCATTATATAGAGGACTGTAGATGTGACAAGGATTCGCACAATGCTCACGACATTACAATCCTATAAGTTCCTATTTAATTTGAATTCAGAACCCTCTAAGCTGTAGAATAAGCAAACAATGATCAAAAATAACTCCTCCTCATTAGCGGACGATCTTTCCCATTTAAAAATCCAATTCTAATATCTCCCAAGCTGACCATATCGTAACTGAAAATATTTGAACTTTGTCTGTTTATTTAGCCTGTATTTAATATTTATCGTAGCATATTCACATCGTATTTGATTTTCATCAACAACGTAATTTTTTTTTTAAAATTCAGCTTCGCACATTTTTTAATTTATTTTATTTTTATTTTGTTAAAAACACGTTTATCTCGCAATAAATAATAATATTGAAAGTCACACAAGCCCTACATTGTCATAAATTCACATTGTTTTTTTGGTTTTTGTTTTTATATTTGAAGCATAACGCACATGTGCTTGCAAATAGAACTATAACATTCTTTCGATTTTTTTTATATGCAATTTTGTGTGTGTTTGTGTCATTTAGGAAGATTTTTTTTTGCCATATTTATGCCTTCATAAAGCGAGAGCATATTTTTTTGATTTTTTTTTTTGTTAAATTTTTTTCTTTATTTTTAAGGAGCAATTTTGTTTCGCAAACATTTTTTCATATTTACATCATGCTTAATGCTTAAATTTACACTCAACTAAATTGTTTTTTTTTTTTACTTGTTAACAGTTCTCTAAAGCCTGCATAGTAAATTTTTTATGTATCATAGTTGCCCTACTTATTAAATGTCTAAAAAGGTTTCATTATCGAAATTTTTTATTATATCTCATATCATCATTTTTATTTTATTGCAACTAGAACTGTGCAAATGAATCGCATTTTTTTTAAAAAAAGTGTTATGTCATGTTGCATGTTACTTTAGTTATTTTTTTTTTCATTTAACTTTAAATCACATTCCATTGTTTTATTTTTATTCTCTTTATTAATTAGGTTTAGTTTTTAATTTTCTTATCATCTTCATCATTTTTAATTCTGTTAATCTTAATGATCAATTTTTTTTTTCATTGTAATGCTGTTTCTTCTTCATTTTTATCAATGAGAATTTTTTTCTTTTTTTTTTTTGGAAGTTTTGAGGGAGTTTTTTGAAGTTTTGGATATGAATTAAGTTTTGGTTAAGTTCATCGACTAAACGAAAGCATGTTTGATTTATTTTTGAATCTTTAAACTGATAGCTAAGTTGAGATAGACTTTTATTTGTAGATCATTACCCGAGTAGCACAAGTCGGATAATCGAGATAAAATCCTACGCTAGGACGACGTGGTTACGATCTAAGTGCGAATTTCTCGTCATGACGAAAAATTTGCGCTAAAGTCGCCGTGATATCTTCCTTGCGTAGGATTTCGTCTCGATTATCCGACTTGTGCTCTCCGGGTTAGAAGCTATAGCAGAAAAATCGCTTAACTTAAAAAGCTTAACTTCCATAAATTAGCTCCCACGAATAGCTATCAAACCTGAGTAAATTATACAATTTATTATCAAATCTTACGAATTTCATCCAATTACATCTAACTTAATAAATACATTTCATTATAATTTAAAGCCTCAAAACCCAAACAGCATCCTCTAGTCCTCTTAAAACAACAATCTTCAAAGAAAAAAAAGCAACAAAATCCATCAGCCTATTCCCATTCAACCAACAAGCTGAACCTCAACCAATTCACATCCCAAACTTCATCACTTCTCCTCAAAACTGCTTCCTTAAGAAAAGCTTAGGCGGGTTTTTTATAACTGAATGATAAGCAAATCTTAATAATTTGTTAATTCTATTAATTTCATGTTTTTTTTGATCTTAGCAGATTTGTTAAATTTACAATCTTAAAGTATATATTTCACTTACGGCACTCTTTTCAAATGTTTCTGGATGTGTACTTTGATGTTTTATGGCATTGAGTGTGTGTTTGTGTAACATGTGAACATGTATGAGTGTAAATTGGTGATGCTGAGATCAAACTCGACTGAACATTTTTATGCTGGTTCTTGGATTTATGATTGGTTTTTGAGACGGTAGATTAGGAAGTGCCTTGAAGTCATGGCTAGTAGAAAAATTGATTTTTTTTTGGGAATTTAAGCAGAAAATAAAAAAATAATTGAATTATTTTTAAAATATACAAAAAAAGATCATTGCAAAAACTGCGGAAACAGACATTTTTTATCCATAAAAGCTAAATAAAATTTTGCCAATTCAATTTCTCAGCCAAATAAGGCGAAAAACCTCCAACTCGGAAGTAGAAAATGTTGAGAAAAAAAAGAATAAAAATTCACATTTCGCTTAAAGCACTTCCTTCCTCTCGCCTCACTTTTCCGACTCTGATTTAATATTGTGTTTCGAATACACTCATAAATTATTCGTGATATCTTCCTTATATGCAATAAAATATCATACTTAACTCACATCATATCAACTTCATTTAATAATATTTCAGTCGAAATTGTTTCCCTCATTTCTTTGCTTAATTCTCATCATTTAATGATCAATTTAATATTCTACAAGAGCTTAACAGATTCTCATCGTTTCTCTTTTCCTTCTTTCATCATTTTGATTCATATAAATTTTCACATTTTCAACTTGTTCGTAAATATGAATAAAATATTCAATCAATGCAATAAAAAATTTCATATGTTTAACGTATACGAGTTGTTTTCTTCCTTTTGTATTCTCAATAAATGGTCACGTTTTACGTGGATGAAATTTTTAATAGGAAAAAAAAATCATTTTCTGGAAACTTTTTCTCATCTCAAGGTTTTCTTTGAGGATTTTTATGGATTATTTTTTGATTATATTCCGGTTGTGATGTTGTTTTTGGAGCATCTGGATGAATTATTAAATTTGATCATCATTAGATGCAGTGTGAAAGATTTAAGCTAGTCGTCTGTCAGATCTTTGAAGATCAAATTATTTTATGATCCGAATTGTTTTTTAATGCTCAGAACTAGCTTTGCAACGTTTAAATAACATTAAACTATAGTGCCAGAATTGTCACGAACATAACTCTAAGAATATGATCCTCCGTACCTAAGACGACTTCTCTAATGATCGTGGTTTGAAAATTCATGAAGAAATTGCCATCAAACCTCCATTTGAATCCTTAGAACTTCCAGAAAATGTTAATTCCATCAAAAACTTCATCCACATATTTTTGATAAAATTTTCTAAAATTTTTGACTGCAATGACTAAATTTCTCACTTAATTATCACTTTTTGATTCATTTCACATCATTCATAGATGTTTGCATGATTAAATTCCATTGACATCGACTCATAATGCTCTTGTTTCTCGTTCTCATTCAGCGTAAATACTTTTGTGTCATTTTTTCTATCGGATTTGATTTTTTTTGGGAGGGACGAAATTATTCATTTTGTTTTTTTTTTACCTTTCAGTTTTGTTATCTATGTGCAGTTATAAATTTAAAATCATGATCGAAAACTCGTCTCCGTAAATTGAATATCGGATTTTCGGAAATCATCACGTTTTAAATGTGAATCCTGAGTAGCCGCATAAACATTGAGCTCTGAAATGAGAAAAGTTTTTTTGATAAAGAGATTAAAAAATTGTAATTAAGATTTTTCTTGCTAATCTACAAACTATTCATAATAAAGAAAGAATTATACTTAAAAAAAAGAAGTAAGGAACTAAGTTGAAAAAATATCAAAAATTATGGTGGATAAAAAGAAAATCTTGTGGAATAAATTAAAATGGAATAAAAATAAAATTTACAAGAAAATCCTCTCATTTGCATTACCACGAATTATTGGATTATTTATGCTTTCAAACCTTAATTTTCTGTTTAATTCTGCTTAGCATGGATGATATGGACTTTATGTTGGCTAAAAGGGTTTCTTAAGTAATAATTTAAGACTCATTTACTAGGGTTGTTTACCTATGAACTCCGCAAATGATGATTTATTATCTTAATGTTGTTAAAACATTGGATTTCAGTAATTGACACAAATTAAATTAAAGAATTCACATTTGATTTAATTCAAATACTTTTGCTAAAGCTTAATCTTTACCATCAGTCATACACATTCATTTCAAAACTAAATTCACTTTCGGCCACAAAAAAATTCTTCAAATATTTCATCTTAAAGCGTTTATCTAAAACTAAATACCGATTAAGTTGTCATTTCAATTGACAATCAATCAATATCCTTTGAAAATTATTTAACAGAACATCAAAAGCCTAATGTTCAAGCTTCATTTACTTTATGTAAATTGTAATTGATTGAAATTCAATTTATGAGAATAGTTCAAAGGAGAAAATCAATAACAGAAATGCTTCAATTTTATATTTTAGAGGAACTTGTTTGATGAATTATTTTGATATTTTTAAAGAATTTTAATTTTGATAGTTTGTGTATGAATTAATAAACAGACAATTAAGTTGGTAAATACAATTTTTAGATTTTTAAGACAAAGCTTTGTCAAGATTGAGCATTTTTAACCATTCAAGCATGTTTAAATGTTGAAGTAGTCTGAGCTAACATTCTGAAGATTGATTTAAAAATCATTTTAAGTTCGAGAGCCTTAAAAGTTGTCGTTCCAACAATTCTAATGAGTACTAAACTTCTCAAGATTCACAAATATTCTCAGATTAAGAACAAACAAAAAAATGTTTACATATTCAGATCAATTGTGAACCGGAGGTGCGTTAGTGCGTTTCCCAGCTAATGAGAGTTTAACAAGGATGCGTTAAACCACTGCACTTAAACCTAGACCTACAATTTATAGAGGAACACGAACCGCTCCTTTGATGACATTTCTATCTGTTGTCTACAAAGGAAGGCTGATAGATTAAGAACAAACATCAGATTAACATACATCATCGAGTTCTTGAATTAATTATCATATCTTATGCCAAAAATTCACCCAAATACATAAATAAACCAATAAATTCTAGTCTAATATATCATTTTAGATTATCATGTAAGTTCATGAAAATTTGATTGAGTTGTTGGTGGAAAAGAATCCCAAAAAACTTGCTTCTTTTGTCGTTTCATAAGAGAACATTCATAATCTCAAGAATTTAATCTCGATTCAAAAATTAAATGCCTTTAGTTATGATCTTAAAACACCCCCTTGTCATCATTATCCCATGTCAACAAAAATATTTCACATGACAAGATATGAGAAGCGTAGAGGAAGAGTTTGGTGCTGTGGTAGTGGAAATGAGGCAATTTATCATAATAATGAAAATAAAAGATCTATAGATAGTATAAGTAATTATTATATTTTGGTAAAGTATGCTAAACAAATCGATTATCAATTACGGAACATTACGAATCATTATTCATAGTGGAAAGGTTGTGAAAGAAAAAGTAAAAAAGAAAAATTTTCTCAGCTAAGAAAGTTGCCAAATGTTGTGAATTAATCTAATAAAAGTTTCATGCAAATTCTTACTGGATTAAAGTGTGAATTGAAAAAAAAAATGAAAAAAATATTTTTGAAACTTTTTTTTTGGATTTTCGTTGAACATACATTACCTCGTATATTAAGTCATACGGCAAACAAAATTGTACAAAAATAAAATGGTAACAAAAAAAAAATTCATCTGAATGCTCATAAATTGTAAAGTGTTTTTTGTAAATATTTTAGTAAACAGTTCATAAAATTTTCATATTTTCTCTCGAGCTGATGTGGAAGCACATTTGTGTACTCCACTAATTTTTCTTCTTTCAAGCGAAAACGATTTGCATTTTTCATTCTGCATTTGTGGATGTATTTTTGTATGCTTTGAGATATGGCAATATTTAAATTGAAGATTTATGAATTATTAAGTTTTTATTATGGTGGGATTCAATTGAATGCAACTTAAGGTTGATTTGAATGTTATTGACATTTGTTTGTTGCGACAAACTAGTGACAAAAGTCAAGAAATACTAATTAACTCGATCGTAGGTTGTCTATGCTAAGGCTCTGAACCAAATCAATTGTGAAAAGATCTCATTCCCAGGCGCGTAACCAGGGGGGGGGGGTGGTTTGATTTGGAGGACAAATCTCCCAAAGTTAACAGAAATTTCTTCATTTTGCCAGGAGTTTTATGAAAAAATCATAAAAATTCTCCCTTCTCTCTGAGTTTTCCATATAAAATATTTTTTGCCCCCCCCCCCTCTTCAAATTCCTGGGTACGGCCCTGCTCTTTCCTAATCCACTGGTAAGAGTCCAGAAGCATAGCATCTGGCTATAAAGATCTAAGCCAGTGATGACCAACCCATGTGCTGTGACACACTAACGTGCCGTGAAATAATGGGGAAATCTTACGAACCATATGCTGTGTGCGATTTTTTATTCATGGCTATATCATCAGGTGTGGCACAAAAAAGGTTGGCCACTACTGGAATAATCCAAATGGCACAAGTCGGTTAATCAATCAGAAATCCGGCACCAAGCTGGTGAGACTCTGATTTGGTGCTGGTTTTGTTTTAAATCTAGAATCATGCCGGCTGACCACTGAATTTCTATTCTATTAACCGACTGGTGCCATTCAGGTAAGCCTCAACTTGAGTGATATCTTTGAAAATTAACCAAGAACCTATACTCTTAAGTCTGCCGTACCGACAGTTGTACAATGTTAAAAAAATCTACTTTAAAAGTTAAAGAGCCATCAATGAAATGATGGAGTAGTGAAGGAACAGAAGAATATTAGAAAGTACAAGAAGAAGCTTTGGGTAAGGAAGTAAAACATACCATTATTCAAAAAAACTAGAGAGGAAATTGAGGTCAAAGTTGCCAAAAAAAAGGAAGGGAAGTAAAAATGTGAAAAATTTCTCAATGGTCAATCAAGAATGATTTTGAGTATTTTTCACTACATAACGAGGTAGTGTATGGATGTAAAGAGTCTGTGTATAAAGTGATGTGACTTTATGTAAATCAATAGAAATAAAAAAATCAATTTTTCTGTCATCATTAAGGTTAAAAACTCAAGGAACAAAAATATTATTTTCATAATATAAAAAAAGCATAAACAAATCTAGTCATGTATAAGTTTTAATGCATATCTCACTTGTAATTTGAAGATTTGAACAATTCCATAGAGTTGATGACTAAGGACTATTTCCTTCAAATAGTTTTAAGAACTCACCACTCTTTGGTCTTGGCAGGCTCATCCGTAAACTTTGATTCAGTTCTGCTAAATTCATGTCTGAATTCATCTTCTGTGGACTTTCACTATCGTCGTCACTATAACTGTAAATGGATGGGAAGGAGTTATGTATTGATTATGAATGAATTGGGAGACAATACGGGAGGTTCACATAGGAAATTACACACGAATGAATAACAATGATGAAAAAGTCATTGGGGGACAGCACAAAGCATTGAATTGAAAGGAGCTTGTTCCTCTCATTCACTTTTTATGTGTGTCATAAAAGGGATGCTAATTTACCTATTATTATGATTTTCTGCTTCAGCGGCTAAAGCATTCACTACAGCACTTATCGTGTTCGAGTCATGATTTCCATCTGGCTCGTCCTTTTGTGCCATGATATTTGGATTTTTACCGATTTTATTTAACCTGTTGAAAGATTCAAAATGATGAAAATTTTAACGAATTTTTTGAATTTAAATAGTAACGGAACTTTTAAATTTAAATTTTTATCTGATTTTTTTTAATCAGAAGAATTTTATAAATTAATTACCCTGTTTTTTCGTTATAAGCTAGTAGCTTAGAAGAATAAAGAAGTGATTTTTTTGGCTCACTAGTAGCTTAGTAACGAGTAGTAGCTTAGTAAAGAAATTGAACTTCAATGAAAATTTTGAATTTTTTAACTTAATTAAAGAAATTTTGCTATCTTCTCGATTTTATTTCGTTGACAATGTCATAAGGCATTGAAACTGATACTTAGAAAGTCGAAAAAGATTAATTATACTTTATTTTTGGTAGTAGCTTAGTAAAGATTACGAAAAAATTTCAAGTTCAAAAAAACTTTACTAAGCTAGTAGCTTAGTAACGAGTAGTAGCTTATAACGAAAAAACAGGGTACAGGCCCACGTAACCATAAGTCGACGAATGGAAGATTTTATGTATTACATCAAAATCTTCCATGTATGTTCCATATGTACATTCCATGTATCGTACATTGGACATTATGCTAATATGAAAAGGGACGATTTTTAGTCGATTTCACGTCGATTTCACGTCGATTATTTTTTTGAACCAAAATCAAATTTTTTTTGACCGTTACAATATAAAAACCGATTAACGGAAAAATTTTGAATTTTTTTGTATGAAAATATTTTTTGTTAATTATACTATAATTTGTAGACAAAATCGAAAAAAAATTAATTAAGGATTTTGTCTTTGAAAAAAAGAGTCGAAGTCTTCATTTAAATGAATGATTCGCATACAATTAATTTAATTAATTAATCACACTTTGTATGAAAATTTGGCTGTGCCTTATATAAGTGATTTCTGATTGCACTTGTGAAGTATATAGCGGCTCATGAAAAACGACGTGTAATGGATGAAAAATCGACGTCTATTGGATCATCCAAAAAATTGTACATTTAAGTCGATTTTTTCATTGACGGCGATATTGGTTACGTGGGAGGAAGTTGTAATAAATCAGTCAACACCTCTCCAGTGGATCAAAATCTCAAAAACCACATCAAAATCCCATAATTAATCATTTATTCTCCCTCCAACAAAATTACCAAATAATGAAATTAAATCCATTAACAAATCCCCACTTACCTTTCAGCAGCTACAGTCTCCATTGTTTTTCTCATAAGAGGATATTGGTCAAGCACAGCGTTAAAATGATCGACACTCAACGAAAATAAATTACAATAAGTTTCCGCTCGAACGCTCGCAACACGTCGCGCATTAGTAAGCAAACAAATTTCGCCAAAATAAGAGCCATCGGACAATGAAGTTGCAACCTAAATTGGACGATTCATGGATAATAGAAACATTAATGTTGATGATGATTTGGCGTATAATAATGACGATGGGTGATGATGATGTCGGAAGGGGTAGCGGTAGTAAAAAAGAGTATTAGATTGGGCATAAAATAATAAGGAAATGGGAAGTCATCAAAGCATTAAATAGCTATGGATGATAATCCGAAAAAAAATGTATATACGCACCTCGCCATTTGCCATAACGATATCGACAATTCCTTCTTGAATAAAATACATTTTTGATCCTATTGTTCCCTCCTTAATTATAATATCACCTGTGTATTATTGTTATTGTATATTTGATATGTTTCAAGTGTGTGCGTTATATTGATTGAGCAAGTTCGACGACGATGAAGAAGAAGAAGACATGGAAAGAAAATAAACAGAATAAAAATATCCGTGACGTTGGGTAATCAAGAATGTGAAGTTCTGCTAATTTCCGGCTGTGTAGCCAGAACGGCAATAAAGGTAATCGATAAAACAATAAGAAATGATCGAAGCTTAGCGCATTTTTCGGTTGGAATTCAGGATAACTGTTGCATTTATGGCTGTCAACTATCTTTATAATAAACGCCATAAAATAACAGCATCACAAACCCAAAAACATCTAAACCTTCCAATAGATTCACGAAAAATGCACTAAAAACCTCAAAGTCATCAGACAAAATCAAGATTGATTGCATCACGCTACATACCAGGTTGAAAAACTTCGTATCTTAATTTGGTAACTACATCCGATACAAAGTTTGAGTCAGCATTTGCAAAAAAAGGCACTGAAGCAACCAACGACCTGTAATTGATTGTAAAAGATAATAAATATTAGTAAAGCAGATCCAGGAACAAAGAATGGAAGAGATGAATTATTGTTGATCATGAAAAGATGATAAACAGCACATGCACAATAAAGATGATTCATTGCACGATGATGATTCGTGATTTTTGATGAGATTTAATCAGTTCAGTCATTATTTTTATGTAAATGCCATGATTATACATAATTTATTCATTTATATGGGATGTATGTCCAATTATATTTGAAATTCATGAAGCTTCATTGCTGAAATTCACACTGGACATGAGTTTTGTTCATATTAAGTGCCTCAATAATTAATTCAATCACTCTATAGAAATAAATGTAATAAAGTCACGAAAGGCTTTTCCAACTTGACATTTGCATCAGGTTGAAATTAAATTAATGGCAAAATAATTTCAGATTCATGCGATTTGTCAATGATATTGTTGATTTGCTGATTAATGATATTCTGTGTCTAATATTAGATTATGGAGTAATTTGCTTAAATTATTATTGATCTGCAGTGAGAATTTGGTGGCTTTAAGTTATGAATTGGGATAAATGAAGTTTTCAGAGCAAAATCCTATAATTTAATGTCTAGAATCGAACATGGAGATTAAATGCTTAGCAGTTGAAATAACTATAGCACTATAGACTGTGTAAGAAATAGCTTAACTTTTAAAAATTCATCGAATTCTAAAAACCGTTCCACACATCATTAATTGCTCAGTAAAAGCCATCATGATATGAACGCTTTTGCCGAAGAACGTGACGTGAAAAAACGGTCATTTGGAATTTGAAAATGATTAGACCGATTTTTACAAAACAAAAATTTTTTTTTAAAACTGATCAACGGTTATTCTTACAATAAAATTAGTGATTTTTCTTATACTAATAAATTTGCCAATAATTTGTAATGACTACAGTACGTGGGAAAACTACGAATATGAGAGATGACTGCTTCTCTCTTATTTTCTGATAGCAAATAATGGTTTCCATGTTTTCCACGTCTATCTGAAGTGTCTTCTTTTTTAAACTTATCCAAAGCTAGCCTAATGACATTCTTAGAAATTTCCAAAATTGAAGTGTAAAATAAAACACATACCGACTTTCCAAGAAGAAAATATTTTTTTCGTTGAGGATCTGATGAGTCAACTGATGCTACTATAAATGCCACTCTTGCCTGATAATCAAAACTCCTGTAATTTTGCTTGATTTGCTGAATTTTTTGTTCGGTGAATTTATTTTTACAATTATTTTTGCAGCATGTCTTCTGATTCTTAAGATTACATCCTTGAGTGTTCAGTTCACTTTTCTGTTGTTTTTCTCTAACCATTTTGAATTAAAGTACAATAAACTCAATAAAAAAATAATAAAATTTAATTTTACGTGTGTAAACAAAAAAAAAAATTTCTTTGTTTTGTAAAAATCGGTCAAATCATTTTCAAATTCCAAATGACCGTTTTTTCACGTCACGTTCTTCGGCAAAAGCGTTCATATATTGTCTTAATATTTGAACTTTAACCAAACATAACACTTTTGTGCACGAGCCGGTCATTACCAAAGGACAAAACTTGTTGGGGGCCATTCACTTATTACGTAACGCTTTTAGGGGGAGGGGGTCTAAGATTTTGTTACGGTTCAAACAAGGAAATTTTTTCATACAAATTTTGTTACGAGGGGGGGGGGGGGCTAAGAAGTCATTTTTTCGCGTTACGTAATAAGTGAACTGCCCCTTGATACATGGAATGTTATGTATCCGTTAATTTATGGTTACTGCAAAAAATCATGTAATCAGGTAATAATGAAAATTTTCAGTGTCAGAAATAGCACAAAGAAAACTCATTAATTGTGCCAAAAGTAGCACACGAGGAAGTGTTTAGAGTAATGGCACATGCTGCATCTCGAGAACTAAGTATGATCGAACAGCTTTAATTGATGATCTAAAATAGCCTATAATACGACAATATTCAGGCAGACATTCAAGTCGATTGGACATATCCCTCCTGTGTGATTCCAGTACACTTTAGAGTAGATCCAGAATCTGATGAAACAGGTGAATCTTGGAGGTCGAACTTTATGTAAAGGAATTAGCAAGTATATGAGCTTTGCTACCAAAACTTAAATTCTATCCTTTTGTTCTCATTCCCAACATTACATGGACATCAACCTTACTTCTAATTTATCTCTAGTCATGTCTCACAGAAATGTAACTCAAGCTCAATATCACAGATTGTATCAGTTTATCAATATCCTATTAATGCCTAAACCCTTATCAAAAAAAACACCAACCATTCACTGTCAATTTTTATGTAGACATACAGAGCTTGTACATCGATACAATAATATTTTTTAGGTTAGGTCATCAAATAGAAGAGTGAGTAAAGTTATGAATGAATGAATAGTTTTGTATAATAAACATGAATTGGGAAATATAGCATGGATATTGTCTATACATAACTCACACCCAACTACTCATCATCAGAATCGAGATTGATTTATTTGACATTTTATAGACTAAATCAATATTTTATGTTGCATGCTATTCACGCATCCTTTCATGATTTTTTTTTATTTATGGACATGAAATTTTAATTTTAATTTACTTACTAATAAATATTTAATTAAATCATATCACATGACTTACCTACAGTTGTAATTGATCACATCCTCTCGCAACTTTTCACTAAGCTCGCCCAAAATACATTCCTCATCAAAGAATTTACCCTGATAGCGATGCTCGAAGTACTCCGTGATTCGTTGCCGCATATCTCTTGGTAATTTCCTATATGCCATGTATTCCTCAACTTGCTTCACCTGAGAATGAAAAAAAAAAATATTAATTAAGTATGAGATTATCAAGAATATTTTTTGATGATGAAGCTTGTGTTGCTTCTGTAGCTTTATTAAAAATTATGACTATAGACAACTCACCCTCTCACGATATTGTCGTCGACTTGAATCTAAACTTTGAATTAGATTTGTCGCATGTCCCAAAAATAGGGCATAACATGTTGCTCCAGATATCATAGATAGCATTGTAAGCCACATATCGGTCAAGGATTGAGGAGGAAATCTACAAAATGATGCGTCAAAATGGTAAGCGTGGAAAAATGGCATATGTCAGTAGAATCATCATATCTAAATAATGTATGTGTTACCGCACCTTCCATAACCAATGCACAGCATATGTGACATGGCCTTAAAGAGTGCCCAAGAGTATTGTTCCAACCAATATGCTTCCTGTAGTCATATAACATTCACAAATATATACAAAACGGAAAATGTATTAAGTTAAAATGAAGAGAACAGCAAGTTTATTTTTTTTTGTTTATGCTGAAATAACTGTCGAGCTACCAACTGTTTATTATTCAGGATTTATGATTTATTTATGCCTCGAAAATAACGCCAAAAAAAAGCACAACTAAGCACACTAGTACACGACTTCTCTTTCGATCGTTTTTCAGTCATACTTTTGGGATATTAATGCATACAAACATTTACACGCATACCAAACAACTTACACTGGAGAATAGTGACACATTTGTGAAATTTTGAAGATTATTATCGTCAAGGTTGATAAGAAATTTTCACCTTTTTTGTGAATTTCTGTTGGTTTAATGAAACGTTGAATATTGAATGAAGGCATATGTTCATGTTGTCTATGAGCTTCTATTTTGGGCAGGTTCCAAATTGTATTAGCTGTGGAGTGCTTCATGGATGAAGATTTGTGCTGTAAGGATTGTTATTATGATTAAGTTGCAGCTTGGATAAGTCATTATTATTTAATGACGAAATGCTTGATGTCTTTTGTCTCCAACTCTGAGTTTTTCCTTCCTGTCCAGCAGAAACAATCCTCCTGTATATTGCAAGCAGTTTGCCAGGATTTGCCATGAAACACTCAGCGCCTTTTCGATTATTTCCTCCTATTTGTGAATGGTTCTATAAAACCCAAAATTTTATGGATGTTGGAACTTTTTCAAGTCCTTTAATATGCTTATGAAACAGGAACAGGAAGTACTTCACAAAAATTGATAATAGGGTTGCAATGCTTACTTTAACTATCAGAAGTAATAAGAGGATTCAAATTCAAAAAGATTGCCAATTAATAAGCTTCACGTGCAACTAGTTCCCTGAACACAAGCTTACCGTGCTTGTGTAAAATCCATCAATTAAATCTCCATAAATAGCCATACTCAGAATGACTGTACAAAGCCAAAAGTGCAAATTAATGACAAATCTGGTAAATTCACCGTAATAATTACTCAATCAATCAATTTATGTGAAAAAGTTCCAGAGACTGCTTCAAAAATAGCACCGGATAAAAAGAAATGATTTCCCTATTCATTAATTCTTTTACTGAACAAGCACTTGTGTCAGCAGGTGACCCATTAGCATACAAGCAAATCTGCTTAATTTCAATCCACATATTAAGTACTTGTGAACCTCAATAACATAGCACAATTAGCTTTATCCATTTTCACCTTTAAAAAAAGTCCCTTTCATATTCATGCGATGTGTATTCACAGTTGATACCACAACATGCACGAATAAGTCCTAATTTTCATACTCAACGCATTATAATGTCACTTGAAATTTATTCATTCATTATAATTCTCACATATGCACATGTTCATTCATGAATTTACCATTCATCCAGCCCACATACAGATACTCAACAACAACGACGATTGAGGCTCTCAAACGAAGTTTTATTAAATTAAAAAAATATTGTTTTTTTTCGAACATGTGTCACATGTTTAATAATTCACCTGAAGCTCATTGATAGCCACCCACGAGTTAGATGGAAATCCTTGAAGCATCGGTACCAAGAATTGTAGACAACCGCTCCAGTGACCAATCAAAAGCATCATGCAAATTAGATTGAATATTCGCATGAAGACAGATGCCATGTTAAGGAACTATAAATGGATATCGAAGAAGCATAAAAAAAGAAGAAGAAAAAATTTGAGATTTTTTTTTTATATTTTTTTTTCTTGAAAACTTTTTTTTTTACATTTTTTTATGACTTTAAAGAAACATTGAATATCGAACTTTAAGTTTTTAATGTAATAAAAAAAAATCATTCTTATTTTCATGAAAATCATAAAAAAGTGCAATATTTTAATGGACGAACATTGAATAAAAATTCATTTTAATTTTAACTGATTTCTTGTTTAATGGTTAAAAGTTTTTATATTAAAAATTATCAGACTTTTAAAGGTTCGTTGATACAATGTTGATCATTTAAAAGTCTGTGTCTAGAGTTGGAGAATGTGGAGCATTAGATATGGATGTATTCCTAATACTACCCAATGATGGTAATTTTTATAGCCAAATTTCAGTGAACACAGACATGTCTAAGAATATTTTGATGAAAGAGTCTAACTACAGAGTGTGACATGCGTAAATTAGCAATAACTAGTCAGCATTAGGTAGTTTTTAGGATACTACATATTTATAAGGAGTTGGGTTGAGTTTGTCTCTCAAACTCTTCATTAATACAGCACTAGGTTGATTCCTCGAATATCACAAGTCAGCACCAAGCCAGTGTGACTCAAGAACGGTGCTGGATTCAATTTAAATCAAATCCACTGGTCTGGTGCCGCATTTCTATTCAATCATTCGACTTATGCTATTCGGGTTCATTTCTAAAGTGACATTCTTCATCTTTAGATCTATGCCCAACATTCTCCAACTTCAGACCTTTAATGACGAATCAAAAATTAAAGGAATTAAGTAAAATTTCTACAAAATTACGATGTGAATAAGGAAAAATAAGGTAAGATAAGTGGATGAATATTTTATTTAAATATTTTATTATTTTATTCTTTAGGTATTCTAGACCTAAAAGAACCTCAGACATATCAAAAAAGTTGAATCTTCAATCTCAAAAAAAATTAATAAAATTTCTTAATGGAAATCGAAACGTAATAATTATAATTAAAAATAAATGCAGCTCGTAAAGTGAAATGAGAGCTTTGAGAACATACAAGCTTAGTTTTTATTTTCTGCAAAACAATTCATTATCAAACCCAACAACAACAACAAAAGCACCAACATCGACTGCAAAAAAAAAATCAAAAAAATACAATTTATATTGATTGTGGAATAAAATGTGGAAAAGTGAAGTTAAAATATGGGATGGACATAGAGGTGAGGTTGAAAATAGACAATAGAACATGCAAAGATTGTTTTATGATCATTTCAATGATTTTAGATTATTTTTTTTAATCCCTGGTAACCATAATCGTCAATATGTATTACATTGATGTTCCTAAGGAAGGTCAATGGAATAAGAATGGACGATTATGATTCTAAGATATGTAGGTCAATGGACGATTATGGTTACTAGGAACGAAACGAACACGTGAGTGTGTCTTACTCTAAGTATGATGTCATATATTGTCATTTTATTTCAGACTAAGGACTGAACTAAGTCTATCAGACAAATTATAGCAACAACATTTTGTAGCTTAGATTTAACTTAGCAAATTAAAATGATCAGTACGAATAAAATCATTGAATGATCAGTAAGATAACATTTGAGCCCTAAGTCAATTGTGCTAAGTTGAATCAACTAGTTTCGACTTTTCTATACAAAACTAGGTTTGACTTAGAACTTTGGTTTACAAAATAGACATCGAATAAATCAGATTATCTTGTAAACTTATTCAAGAAGTTTGAATGATATTTCGGAAACTTAAAAAAGCATTTTTTCTAAAAGCAAATTGCTATCCAATATCTAATAAAACTCGCATAATTTTGCTGAATTTCTAAGTTTCTAATTAAAAAAAATTCAAAAATTAAGGATTTAAAAAAAAAATTGAATTTGATTTTTTAAAGCAAATAAAATTCAACAATAGAAAAAGAAGGAAATTTAGACAGAAATAAAGAATAAGAATAAAGTAAAGATCAGGAATAAGTCAGTTGAGGAGAAATTTAGGCAAGGATAACCTTGAATTTAAGTTTTAAGTATTTTAGTATGTTTTATTTTAAAATTATTCAACAGATTCACTTTAATTTGAGAGATTATAAATCTTTTAGTAATAAGTTTTTGTAGCTTCGAGTATTTTTGATCGACATTAAAGATGCTTATTTTGGTGAAACTCGGCATTAAAGTTTGTAGATCAACTAAGTGAGTTTGGAAGTTTTTGGAGTTGATGCTTGAAAATAATGGCGCTTAGCTCTCGAATTTGATTAATTTTAATCATCAAACAACAAAACTTAACTCAAATTTCCAAAAGCCTTCAACTGCCCAGCATCACCAAAACAGCAATAAATGAGAATCAATAAATTCGAAGCTATGAGAAAATTGTAAAATAACACAAAAATATATCCAACTGTCTTTGTCATTCAAGTTTTAAAATCAATTTCCAACAATTTTTCAAAGTCATCATCATCATCATTATTACACTTTATAGCACTATTTATGCTGATAAATGAAAAAGTAAGAAAAATAAATATAAAAGCAAATAGGAAGGAGAGAGTAAAAAGAAGGAACTGAATGTCCAATGGTGCTGTAAAAATTCTAAATCACCATTGAACAACAATCAACTTTTGTGACATGATGGACAGAAAGATAAAGAAGGAAAAAAAAACATAGTGCGAAGTTCATTTTGCTGCTATTTCAAAGGTCGATTATGGGCAGGAAATACCATACTGTACCTTTCATGATCTTTATGAAAAGAAAATATTATTAATTGCTTACAATTACACCTTCTGGATTATATCGTGTGATTTCATTCAGTTCCGCTCCCATAGCGAATTTTTTTTTTCCTCTGACTTCATGCTCACGAGGTCTGTTTATATTTTCATTTTGTATTTTTTTTTTATCATACACGCTCGTAATAAGTGAACGATGATGTGTGTTAAGCTTTACTTGTACTTGTTTGCGGTTATGATTAAAATTTGTGAAGAATCATTTTTTTGGGGTTTTGTGGGGAGAATTTTGCACGTTTCATTTGTGAAAAAACATTTTCTGATGGGAAAAGTTTGTGGGGGGGGGGGAGGTACATACAATGCTGAGATTAAATGTTTGGAACACTAAGTTGAAGCTATTACATAAATATTGTTGAATGAAACAGCAAATGTTGATTTGTTGCTAATTAATCATTGTAGATTCAAGCTAGGTTATGCTATCTAGATGAAGCATATTGAAGTAATTTTATAGAGCTGTTCAAATATGACGTCCATAATCAAGGAGATCCAAAAAGTATCAATAACAAAACGAGATGCGAAGGTATAGCTTTCGTTAACAGATCCTTTTTGAACCTCAATTGTCTAGCTTCAAAACTTTAAACTTTCATAAGTTACGTCATAATAAATCAACCCTTATGTAAATTCCTAACCTTGACTGTTAACTCAAATCTTAGCCTGTCTAAGCACCTATTAAAGACCCGGCGACGTAAGCAAATAAAAAAGTATTTCAGCTTCTACGCACTTACATCATAGCACAATAAATAAGTTCTAACTTTACAGAAGTTGGCAATCATTAACGTGAAAACATCTTCAAACCTCTGCCTTTACGTACATACTTCATATGTGTTTTCAGATTCTTCTCCTCAAAAGAGGCACTTATATTTTTCCGCACACTTTATCGGCAATTAATCAAAAAAGAAAAGTCATTACGTATGAAATGCTCTCCTCGACATTTTTCATTTACTTTTTACTTCCATTTATTTTTTGACTTCCGACGATACTTGACAGTAATTAAAATATTTTTCCAATTGTTACAAGATGCTTGCTTCTTCTGCTAATGACATTACATGTTAAGTGAAAATGCTCTCTTAGTAATAACAGCAGTAATAACAGCAGACGTGTATATATCATTATTATAAAAAGGAAGAAGAATAAAAAAGCCAAACTAGAAAGGCAGGCAGGCAAGCAGGTAGGTAGTGGAAGTAAAAGAGATGATGGGTAATTTGTATTTCTATATGAATTTGCCATTTTTATATGTTGTAGATTGTTGTACATGCTACTTTAATAGTTAGCTCTGTGAAATATGTGAAATGAGAAATTTTTTTATGACGGAAGAATAAAAAAAATTAAGCCATTTGTAGTCATTCATTCATTTATGTCGTGAACATTAATAATACAAATAGTGTTTTTTTAGTATTGTAGTTCCTTAATGGATATGGGATGAACATGTATTATGGTGCAGTTTTCCTTGATTAAAAGAGCTTGAAAACAGTGAAATGGACTTGAGTTGAGTTTTGGACTTTTGGTGTGTCCTTGAAATGATTGGAAAGCTGCTCTTCTTTTTTTGGGTAGTGATTTCTGGTAGTTGTGACTTTATTGGCATTTTTAAAAAGGATCTGTGAATGACTTGATATGGGGATGGTGGGAGATGAGCTAGTTCTATTCAATACATAACCTCAAAATTCCCCAAAATCAATTGAAATCCCAATACATTAATTACAGCTTACTATACTCCTTCCTATACCTTGGCTCATCTAACCCGACTTACTGATTAAATCAGACAATAAGAATTGGAAATAAGAAAAAAAAAATTAGATTTGTGAAACGTCCTTGAAACTTTTTTTCCTCGCTGTTTCCTATATAGCCATTAAATGACACACTGACACTCATCTTATCTCATAGTTTTTCTAAATTGATGTGAAGTCATGAGAATTATCATCATACCCATATCAATTTCATACATTTGCCTCACATTTTTATGTGCTGGTCCCTTTTTTGGAATATCTTGCCTTATTCGCATTAAAGAGTTCATTTATGTGATACTGAGGAAGACAAGCTAAACATCTGTGTTAAAGGAAAGCTTCGCCATAAATTTTATATTTTTTTATGCTTCAAAAGTTTCAAATATTTCATGTGCTTTGACACTGGTCGTTCATCTTCTTATTGCATCGATTTCTTCTTTAATATTCGCATTGAAAAGGAAAATTATTCAAATAAATTA